TTTAGGGTCTTTAGGGCTTTTAGGGTTTTGGGGTTTAGGGTAAGCCCGAAACTTCAGTCCCCGGAGCCCGAAATCCTTAACCGGTTTAGGGTTTAGGGTTCAGGGTTTAGGATTTAGGGTTTGGGGGTTCGGGTTTAGGGTTTAGGGGCCTTCTCTCTGATCACGACTCTTCGAACTTCGAACCTCAGGAACCTTTCTCCCCCTACACCCTAAACCCGAAACCGTGCGCAGTTGCAGGCCGTTTGGAAGTTGCGCAGCTCGTGCTGCAGGCAACGTGGGCTTCACGGTTTCAGGTTTCGGGTTCAGGATTTCAGTTTAGCGGGTGAGACCGCGGTCAATGCTTCGGTTGCACATGGTGCTCGGGTTTGGGGGTTTCATGGTGTTGGAGTGTTGGGATTGAGGTTACACTGTAAACCCTAAACCCTAAACCTATCGGCCTGGGAAGTTCGTGTTCCGGGTTCGACAGGATTCCCGTTACTTGCTCGGTGTGACAACCGGGGAATTGGTCTGGAATCTTCCTTAAAGCCCAACCCCAAACGCACAAGCCCACCTACAGACTCCTAGCCCCAAACCCCTGACACCTAAGCTCTAAACCCTAAACCCTAAACCCTCAACCCTAAACCCTAATCCCTAAACCCTAAACCCTAAACCCTAAACCCCAAACCCCATCGAATGAACATGGCTCGCAAGACATTGCGCTCAGCGGCTGCTGAGACCAACGTCTTTCACTATGGCGCCGTGCTGGCGGCCCCTTTGTTTCGTTACACGGTTTAGGGTTTAGGGTTTAGGGATTTATCGTAGGAAAGTCACAGAGGCTTGATTGAGCGGTTCACGTTTCCGGGTGTAGAGTTTGGGGTATCGCCGTTGACATGAATGCTGCCAGCAGTGCTATCCGGGAACTAGTTGTGCCACTACGATTCCTGTTTCGTTTGGCGTACTTCCTGCGATGTTGGATACGATGATAAAGGAATTAACCCAACAACAACAGCAAGACCTTTACTTGCAGTGCTGCACTGACTGTGAGTGTCGAGTGTCGCAACGGCATCAATGCTAGCACCAGCTTGAGGGACAGTTTTCCTTAACCGTGAACCCTAAAACCACCAAGCCGAAGGGGCAAAGCTCAGACTGTTCATGGGTGGTTGTCAAAATTATGGTCTCTTTTTCGGTCCTTATTATAATACGGCACCTATTATTTAGGGTACCCCCAAAGGGACCATAATTATGACAACTACCCTCATGCTTATCTGCACTAGAAGTTGCTAGGTGTTAAGATTCAGGGTAAGGAATAGCAACAGGGACAGCAACAGTCGGCGCCAAGGCCTGCTCGAAGACTGGTGCATGGAAGCTGGCTGTGGCCCTGCTACAGGCGGGTTCAGGGTTCATAGGGTTTAGGGTTGAGGGTTTATAGGGTTTAGGGTTGAGGGTTTGTAGGATTTAGAGTTTAGGGTTTAGGCTTTACAGGGTTTAGGGTTTAGGGTGTATCGGGTTTATAGGGTTTAGGGTTTATAGGGTTTAGGGTTTAGGGTTTATAGGGTTTATAGGGTTTAGGGTTTAGGATTTAGGGTTTAAGGGGAACTGAACTCTTAACCGATGATACTGCCTAGATGAGTACCTGT